CACGAAACACTGCAAAAACGTATGTTTGCACGGGCCCGCCCGGTGCGCGTCGCCAATAATTTTTTTGGAGGCCCCGTACGCGGAGTCTAGGCGCGTGTGGGAGAATGTCTTGAAACGGGCGGATGACACACTGGACAGGAACACATACCCAAAGTTCCAGCCTCCCAGCTTTCCTGGTTGCTGAAAAGAAAGTGGGTGACAGAATGCACTCGTTTCCGCGCGCACACACACAGACACAGACACACACACACAAGCACTTTCACACAGCCGCTCGACAATTTGCCTTTTTGCTGGCTACCGCGCAAAAACGCCTAAAAGACGCATGAAAAACAAAAAAAGTTTAGGAAATTCGAATGACCAGTTTTCTCCGCCGTTTCTGCTGCTGCCGTCGTACGTTTGGAAGTTCTGGAATGGCCAGAAATTTTTTTTCCAGTGTTCATGTGCTGTTTGCCGCTAATGTTGCTGCTGTTGAAGTGAGGCGTATCGCTGAAATTCGTCTTTATGGTGCTGTATTCTAAGCTGCCGGTACTAGTTAGTTCTTTAAATAGTTCATTAGGTGATCCCTTAAAAAGTTCATTAGAGCTGTTCTTGCTAGGTCTGTTTTTGGTTTTTAAAAATTTGGCGAAGTTAACAAGAACAGACATCGCTTTGATACTGTCATGTCAAAACACGAATAGTGATAGATAAAATTTATTCTAGAATGTTTCATTTTGTTCTTTTGTGTGTATATAAAAAATCTGCAAAAGGGGATTGCAAGGAGGGAGAAGGAGTAAGGACCTCTGGACCAGGAAAAGCAATTATTTCTAAACAGCAAGCGCTGGGATACGGCTGACTGAAAGAAGACTGCGACGTCGAAAGGCGGACTGAGCGGGGAAAAGAAGATTGCGTGCGAAATTCGGGAGCCGGCAGCTGCGAGAAACTGAGCTCTTTGCTTGAAGCACAGCTATTTGATCATAGGCATAAGTCAAGTGATCAACGCTGTGCCACGAGCCGGAATCAGAGCCCGTAATTTTGAAGATGAAAAGTGAAAAACGAACGGAGGATGTTTGGCCCATTGAGATGTCCTGCAAGTCCAACGAAGTGAATGCTGCAACGACTTCTAGCTGAAGCGAAGCAAGGGACAGAGTTATGGAAGTCAGTTCGGGGAAAGACGAAGACAATAATTATGAAGAATTTCGGGACCGGTTTTGTTATCTGCTGCTTGCAGTGCAGTCAGGGGTCCATATTTTGGAAGGAATCAATAGTCAATGGATAAAACTGATCCAGAATCTTCCCGAAGGAAAGCTAGAAGAAGAAGAGCAGTTACATGAGAAAGCAATGGAAGACGAAAACAGCTTCTTGGCAGTTTTGGAAAAAGAAACAGAAGCCGCTGCGACAGTGAAAGCCGAGAAAGAGAGGGTGGAAATGCTGGTACAGCAACACTGCAAAGATAATAAGCCCTGCAAGAACTCCAGCTTTCAAGAAATCAAATCAAACGAAAGACAGTGAATCAAGCTTCCTAAGATTGAATTGCCAAAATTCTCAGGTGAAATTATTCATTGGCCATCATTTTATGCACATTTTCAAGTTGCAGCAGATAGAAAAAATATACTACCGATTCAAAAATCAGCCTACCTCCTCGGTTGTTTAAAGGAAAAAGCAGCTGCGGTAGCAGAGGAGTATGCTATTACGTCAGAAAATTACTCGTTGATCTTAAATATGCTCAAAGAAAAATTTGGGGATTCGAAAACGATCATAAGGCAACTAAAAAGCCTTACAAATGCTGATGCGCATAAAAACGTTCAAGAAAGATTGGAGAATATGAAGAAAATAATGCGGCAGCTAGAAACATCAGGTGAAAATTTTGAACATCCAAAAGTGGAAGTAAAGACTGAATCCAAGTTACCGCGATGGATGCTGAAGGAAGTATACGAACTGCGAGAAAAGGATGATTCATGGACGGTAAAAAGCTGAGGAAAAATTTAGAAGTAATAATAAAAAGAAAAGAAGCGGTAAACCGAGCATGCGAGGAACATCAGAAGTATAAAAAATGTTCACAAGAAAGGGAGGCTTCTCCTACGAGAAGAATATTTCCAGGACCAGCAAATTTCCGCTGTATTTATTGCTCGAAGAGGAACCAAGAGGCCGTGCTTGTTTTGCGCGCAGAATCATTGGAATGACTAATGTGTAGAATATCCGACACTGGAAAAACGAATGGCTAGAGCCCGTGAGGCTACGCCTGCGCTTCAAATGTCAAAAAAACCACTGCAGCAGAGACTGCACCCAGCCAGATACCTGTTACCACTGTAATAAGCAGCATCCATCGGCCTTGTGCAGAAGCTTGCGGACGAAAAAGGATGCATCTCGCAAAAAGTGCAAAGTTCTGTAATGGAGAAACAATCAGTGAACGAAGTCTCACCGGCAATGGCTACCTTAGCAAATGAAGTAAGCGACAATAAAAATGCCGTCCTATTAATTTGTAAAGAAGTACAAATAGTGAACCCAAAAAAAAAAAAAAAAAATGGAAGAAAAGCGACTGCACTGGCTTTCCTGGACGTTAGGTCACAACTCTTGTTCATCGCTGATGAATTATCAAAACAGCTAGGGCTTCAAGAAGAAAGAAAGGAAATTCTAAAAATACAAGGATTTGCCGAACAAGTAGAGGAATATTCCACAGTCTTTGTCGCCACGCATCTCGAGTTGAAAAATGTTAATTATAAAGAGCTGAGATTGAGAACAGTCGATGGAATAATCCCGTGCCAACAAATCATTGATATACCATGTAGTCAGGAGGAGTGGATCCTAAGTGGAAAAGTAAATCCGTCAATGCTTAAAAGAAAGTGGGAGAGACCGAAAATTTTAATCTGAGCCGACTGCTTCTTTGATTTTAAACCAATAATAATAAAAAAGTTTGTACCAGTTTTCCAGTTGATGGATTCGTAAATTGGATACACTTTTACCAGAAAGGGAAAGTTAGGGGAAATGACGACAAGCGGCACATCATGGTGTTCAGTACATGGCAATGTTGCTGTCCTACCAGTGACGAAAGTAACTGATCCTATGGATGTGGGGATATGTGCTCATGCCATGCGCGATCCTCCCTTTTTAATTTCACCCACCTCGTACGCCTGGGTGCCGCTTACGCACGCTTTAAAAAAATATGCAAATTTTTTGGCGGGAAAGCGATCTCGGGAACCACACGAGCTGGAGGACTAAAACTTTGTAGGAATATTCCCTGTGCATGTACTGGCTAAAGGTTTCAAATTCAGCCCCCAGGTATGCGTGGTACTCACGTAAGGGCGTATGAGAGTTTTGGGGGGAAAATTGCGAACTCGAGTGTCAAGGAAGATAGAAAGCTGAAATTATGGGTGAATGTCCCCTATCCAAGTACAACTCTAATATTTCAAATTCAGCCCTAAACTATGCGTGATACTCACGTAAGGGCGCATGAAAGTTTCTGCAGGAAAATTATTATCTCGGCAACCAGAAGAGCTGGAAGGCTAAAATTTTAAGTGGATGCTCCCCGTCCACGTGCAATTTAAAAATTTCAAATTCAGCCTTCCAGGCACCTGGAGTACCCAAGTGCGGGCACGTGAATGTTTTGGCGGGAAAATTGCTAACTCGTTAACCAGGAAAGCTCAAATTTTGAGGGAATGCTCTCTGCCCCTGTACAACTTAAGTGTTTCAAATTCAGCCTTGAGGTGTGCGTGGTTCTTGCGTATGGACACTTAAAAGTTTTGGCGGAAAAATTTCTCACTGAATACTAGGCTACTTTTAAGGAACGAATGTTAAATGGAAATTGTACATTTACTTTGCAAAATTTATAATGATTTATGCTAGTGACCGCAAAAGGTAGGTGCAAAGCAAGTAGTCATTCATACAGTTAATGATCTGATTACTTAAAGTCCGGTGCAAAAGCGAACGAGCCCGCCCTGCGTTCCAGCCTGGATTATACACACAGGGTAAGAACATATACCCAAAATTTCAGCCTCCCGGTTTTCCTGGTTGTTGAGATGAAAGTGGGAAACAAAGTTAACTCGTTTCCGAACACACACACACACACACACACAGACGATCTCTCGACAATATGCTTTTTTGCCGTGCAGCGCTAGAGCGCTGCAGCAGGCAGCAAAAACGCATATTGCAACGACCCTGTCAGTGTATGTGTATGTTTTTGTGTGTGTGTGTGTGTTCGTCTGTCCGGGTGTTTCAACTCGCCAACCACGTATGCTTTGAGGTTGAAATTTTGCCAGTGTGTTCCCCAGCCAAGTGCCACCCCAGGACCGCAGTATCAACTCTTACACACGTCTGGGCCCCGCGTACGAGCACGTAAAAGTTTTGGCGCGGGAACGAGAAAAGCTAGAAAGCTGAGACCTTGGCGGGATGTCCCATACCTGTGTGTGACAAAAAGATTTCAAATTCAGCTGCCCAGGACTGCCCGGGGCTTACGTACGGGCACGTGAAAATTGTGGAGGTAAAATTCACAACTCGGGAATGAGAAAAGCTAGAAAGTTGAAAATTTGGGGCAATGTTCCTACTCATATGCGGCCAAAAGTTGTCAAATTCAGCCCCTTATGACAGCCTGTGGCTCACGGATGGGCACGTGAAAATTTTTGGCGCGAAAACTACCAACTCGGGGACGCGAAAAGCTAGAAAGCTGAAACTTTAGGGGAATATTTCCTACACATTTACGACCAAAATAAGGTGTTCAGAAGCGCTCGGGACCCACTTGCGGGCACGTGGAAGTTTTGGCGCGAAAATCATAAGCCCAGGAACGGGAGAAGCTAGGAAGCTGAAACTTTGGGAGAATGTTCCCTACTCATGTACGAGCAAAATCAGGTATTTAGAAACGCCCTGGGCCACGTATGAGCAAATGCAAATTTTGGCGCGAAGACTTCTAACCCGGGAACGGGAAGAGCTATAAAACTGAAACTTTAAGGGAATGTTCCCTACTCATGTCGAGCAAATTCATGTGTTTAGAACCGTCCGGGGCCCACGTGCGAGGACGTGGAAATTTTGGCGCGAAAATTACTAATCCGGGAGCGGGAAGAACTAGAAAGCTGAAACTTTAAGAGAATGTTCCCTACTCATGTGCGAGCAAAATCAAATGTTTAGAGGCGCCCGGGACCCACATATGGGCAAGTGGAAATTTTGGCGCGAAAACTTTTAACCCGGGAACGAGAAAAGCTACAAGACTGAGACTTTAAGGGAGTGTTCTCTACTCATGTACGAGCAAATTCAGCTGTTTAGAACCGCCCGATTCAGCTGTTTAGAACGAGCACGTGGAAATTTTGGCGCAAAAATTTCTAACCCGGGAACGGGAAGAGCTATGAAGCTGAAACTTTAAGGGAATGTTCTTCACTCATGTGGAGCAAAATTAGGTGTTTAGAAGCGCCAGGGGCCCACGTACAAGTACGTGGAAATTTTGGCGCGAAAATTACTAATCCGGGAGTGGGAAGAACTAGAAAGCTGAAACTTTAAGGGAATGTTCCCCACGAACAAAATCAGGTGTTTAGAAGCACCCGGGGCCTACGTACAG